ACATGAACTCTAAATCCCAGACCTCATATTTCATCTTTGTATTTGCAGGAGCAGGCAGGCCCCACACTCAGTGGTCAATAATGTAAAGAGAGAAAGGGGAAGAAATAAAGTGAGTTGTATTTCTATTTTCTCCATCGTTCCTCTTTTCCTTCATCCTCATTCTATGTCTTCCTATTATTTCTCCCAAAGTACTAATACATCATCTTTACTTCTCTTTAGTTTCATGATTTTTCACCTCTCTCCTGACGTGCTGACTATTGCAAATCATACTGGTCCAATGTGTGAGTGGCCGAGGTTCAGAAGTGTGCTGCTACTTAGCACTGCAGAGAAGGGGTTAGATTTAACAGGCTCTGGATTAACCTTTTTTTTTTTTTTATCCCTTCTGAGTTCTAGCTGGGAACTTTCACACGCTTTAGCTTCGCCTACTTTTCAAGATCAGCAGCGGGGTCAAAAGACTTTCTGCAGCACCCTGGCTAGAATGGCAAGCTCAGGAGGAGAATCTTCCGTCTTTACATTTTAAAAAATAAAATAAAAGTATTCCCACACTGATGGGAATAGTAATACCTGAGACCACTTGGGGGAGAGGGGAGGATTGGGCCTGTGCTGGCTGTGAAAGGAAAACTCACTGATGACAAAAACAGCAGCTGCCGTCCCTCTGAAGGAGGCTAACCATTCCCAGAGAGCAGCCTCAAACTGCATTTAGCAAGAATAACAGGAAAGGCACATATGTGACTGACATTCCTGAGAAGCATTGTAAAAGGTTCTATGGATTTCATAGAGGAACACAAAGTGCATCATGTGATTCTAAAAACCTAAGGATGGCTTACCATGGACAGTGAAGTTATCTTGGAAAATTACTCAAGAAATTAATCAAAACTTAATCAGAAAAAAAAAATACTTTGTAAGAAAGATTTTGAAACAGGAGAAGAAATATTCAGGCATCTTTAGGAGAAGAGACCTTGTAAAAATCCATAGATGCTTCTGTTTTTACTTTTGGATACCAAATTGGGTAAAAAGGGGTAAGAGTTATTCTTTTTTTTTTCTTCTTTTTTTTAATAAACACTGTGTCCATCATTTCTAGAATGTGTTTCCAAAGCTGTCTGCAGTGCAAATTCACTCTCACAACTCCCTCTACAGTTATACATATTTTAACAACTTTTTAAAATAAAAATGTAGGCCAGGGAAATTGTCTATGAGTATTAAAGGAATTTATAATGTAATGTTGAATAGCAGACTACAGGCAAAAAAACATGGTATACTCACATGGTAATCTAGCTATTGTTACCAAAACAATGCTTTTATTATAGAAATGATGGGAACACCACACTAAAATTATAGCATGTATATGTACATGCTAAAAAAAAAAAGTAAAAAAGATAATAAATTATTAACAGACACAGTTTGTAACTGCAATACTTTTGTAAAGTGACTTTTTTAAAAATGTTATAAAAAAGTAAAAAGTAGTAGAAAGCTAACTACTTAGACATATCACAACAAATGTTTTTACGGAAGAGTTCTTTTTTCATCTTATTAAGTTTATCGGGGTGACATTGGTTAATGAAACCATATAGTTTTCAAGTGTACAACCCAATAAAATACCATCTGCACACTGCACTGGGCGTTCACCACCTAAAGTCAAGCCTCTTTCCATGCCCAATTATCCCTCTTGTGCCCACTTCTACCTCCCCCTGCCCCCAACCCCTCAGACCATGCTGTTATGTATGTCTATGTATCATATATATCCCTTAATCCCTTCACCTTCTTTAACCCTGACCCACAAGCTATCAGTCTGTTTGATGTGTCTATGCTTCAGTTTCCATTTTGTTTGTTCAATTATTTTGTTGATTAGATGCCACGTATATGTGTGATCATATGCTATTTGTCTTTCTCTGACTGGATTATTTCACTTGGCATAATTTCGGGATCCACTCACGCTGTCATAAAAGGTAAGGTTTTCTTTTTTTTTTATAGCCAAGGAGTATTCCATTCAATAAATGTACTATAACTTTTTAATCCACTCATCTAATAATCCTCTCATCTAAACCGGGGATGTTTCCAGATCTTGGCTATTGTAAATACTGCTGCAATGAACACAGGGGTGCATATATTTGTTTGAATTAGTGTTTCGGATCTATTCCCAGAAGTAAAATGGCTGTGTCAGAAGAAGTGAAATGGCTGCACTATCAGAGACGCTGACAGAAGGCTCCAAAGGAGTCATGCCAATGGCTCCAGCTCGAAGCTGCATCCCTTTCCCCTGTGGACCCAATAACATTTTATATACCACTCGGGGAGACAACATATGTGATAAAAGAGCTGCCTTTTGAATATCTTTTCTAACTAATTATTCACTATGGGGTGTAACTTTGAGACTAACCTCTCTATACTTTAGGATTTTCATCTGTAAAGAAAAACTAATAATATTATTTTGGTAAGCCCTCGGCCTCAAATAAATGCGGATCCCCCTCCTTCTTTTCATGCTGCCTCCTTTTCGTGGTTGGGAGCTAATGTGCCTGTGATCTGAGATTCCTGCTAAATGAAAGGAACAATGTGCTGAGCAGACCTCTAACAATGTCTTTCCCAAAAACAACTCCTGTGGATTCTCTTTGTGTTTGGTAACCGGATACAAGGAACAAAAGGACACCTTCTTTTCCGCCTGGGAACCCAAATAGAGACGTTTGAGGATGATTTCATGAAGTTGTAGAATTAACCTTGAAGCGTGACTGTTTTAGAGTAATGGTAAATCTGGGAAGCATTTCCGAGAGAGAACAAAAGAAGTGGATTGGGACTGTGGCTGGTGCAGGCGCCATATATTGAGAAAAGGAGAGAACGGAAAGGTTATGTAAGATTATGAAAGATCATGATGTCTGACTAACATTTGTTCAGAAAAACAAATGGCAAGGTTATAAAGGGAATTAATCATTCCCTAATCTCCCTGGCCATCACTGTTTGATTCACCACGTAGGAAAAGAGACATGAGCTGGAAAAGATTGAAGACTGAAGTACTACATTAAAGCAAGAAAGCACCAATAAATGTCAACATGCCAGAACAAGAGCACATGAAACCTCGCCTCCAAACAACAAGGGCTCTCTGCGCTCTCTCTCTCTCTCGCTCTCTCTCTCTCTTCTCCCTACTCTCTTCTTTGCTTTATTTTTGTTTTTTTTTTCTTTATTGATTAAGATATTACATATGTGTGCTTATCCCCGAATGCCCCCCAACTCCCACTCATGCCCTCACCCCTCTGGTGTCTGTGTCCAATGGTCCTTTGGTTGATCTCTCCCTCTTACCCCCACTCTCCCCTACCTTCCCTCTGAGGTTTGACTATCTGATTGATGCTGCTTATTAACTACAAATAAAGACATAACTTGATGGGTTCCAAAATGCTAAAATTTCCCTTCTGTATCTATAATATGAGTAAGAAAAATATGATAATATTTAATTCATCCTAAAGAGAAAAATAGAAATTAATCTGTTACAGGTGCTGCTAAAGATATTCTCACAGCAGAATTCTATTACAGAATTTAGCAAGGAATACAAGTTTTAGGACTTAAGAAACAAATAACTTAACTTAGGGGTTCTTGAAGTTATGGAAGTACTGGCAACTAAATAGCAAGATGACACTTGTATCTGCCTGGGTTTTGTATTTTTCTTGGGTCTACTCTTCTCACAGAATGGATATGATTTATTTAGACTATCAAAGAGCTTTTATAAGGTTCTCACAAGAGCCTATTATTGAAACTTGGTAACCAAGGAGTGGAAGAAAAAAGTCATATCAATGAATTAAATGAATTAAAAACTGCTTAAGAGGCAAAGAAGCCAAAAACAGAAATAACTTGCCAGTTCTCATGTGGAGAAAGGTTAATGACTAAGGACTCTTGGGCTTTGCAGTAGAATTGAAGTTATATTTAACTAATGACTAAGAAAGGGAGCCCAATTCTCATTCCCCCATTCTCTGCATATCAGTTCCACACACAGAGCCCCCATTGACTGCAAAACCTTTGGCACATGGGGGAGATACAAACAGCATGGGGAAGTGCTTAAAACCCAGGAGAGAGCAAATAGGTAATGAATGTTGACTCATGTAGAAAGCCCCATATATAAAGGAGACAGCTATAAATATTATATTAGTGAAATTTCAATTTCTAAAACTTTGACACATACTACATAGAAATAAAAATGCCTTTGCAAAACACAGGATATGGTATTTGAACAACAGTACATAATTTATTGGCATAATGAGAGCCAATGTTCCATACATGAAGAATAGCTCAAGTGGGCATCTAATTCTACAAAACCCACAAAGTCTATTTTATATATTTAGAAATATAGAAATAAACAAGTAAAACTGATTTTTAGAAAATTAAGAATTACTACCAGTCTTCGGAGGCAAACTTGACAAATTGGTACAGGTTTTAACAGAAGCATAACCTGATATGAATGGAATAATTAGGAAATCATATACTCTAATTAACATTAATGTTTTGTGACCATAGCTCAATATGGCATTTTCACAATATCATGACAGACTTCACAAAAGGGGGTCAGAAAAGCCAACAAAATCCTGACTTAACCTCTATTTGTCTCAATTTCCTTGTCTGTAGGAAGGAGAATAATAAAGTTGAGTTCACAGGATGATTATAACGGTTAAGAGATATCAGATATGTAGAGTGTTTAAGACAGTAAAGGTAAAAACTAATGTTAAATTATTATTGTTGTTGTTATTAGTATTCATGATGTGCTAACCCCAAAGAACATGTCACAATCAATACATTGTGACTTCCTTGTTTATGGCATTAAGACTCAGTACTTAAGAAGACAATTAAAATGCTTTTAAATGCATTCAAATACAGAAAACAGTTAGTTTTAAAATACCTTCCTATGAACCAATTTTGTGAGAAGGAAGAAAATATTCAACTTAATCTAAATAAGCCTAAAAGAACACCACAAAATACCAGATAAATACTAACATAATTCTTGAATGTACAAATAGATCAAAGCTTACCGGGCAGATAATATTTTAATAAGCTCTTTTCTATTCTGTACCCGAAGGTGATTAGTTTTATATTTGCAGTCATCAATCAGTTCAGGCAAATTCAAGATCTAAAAGATAAAAATAATTTTAATGTATAACTCACAAGTTTTTCTCATACCTGCATGTGAGTTCAAGGCCTACCACTACCTCCCCAAGACCATTCCTTGCTGGTCTTTACCCTTTTCTCAAAAAGAGACATAGAGCAACAAAGGAAACTAGAGGGAAGAATCATGCCATTAAAATGTGTGATGCTGTGACTATCGATACTTATAGAAATCCTCTAACCAACATATATCTTGTAGATACATTTACTTTTTGTTCACATGTAAATAAATATTATCTGTCCTGCTAGTCCTATCCATGATGTTGTATAAGATGCTAAAATAAAGGCAAAACACACATACATTTGACCTAAATACTCACCATTAAAATAATGTCAAATTCATAGATATTTTTCTAATACAAGTACCATTATTTTTCTTAAATATCTCTCCCTAAAGGTATAACAAATAAAAATGTTTTATATACTTCCTCTTTTGCTCCTCCTCCATAAATGAAAAATCTATCTGCCAAGTTCCATTCACTATCCTGTAATCTTGATGAGATCATACTAGAAGTACCCAGTGGGTTTGGAATGGATGTTTTAAAAACAATATGTGGAGGCAGAGTTTGGCAGTTGAGTTGGAAAGTCAGAAGCATTTATAGATTAGGGTCATGGCCTGTAGCCTACAGAAAGCTTCACTCCATCTATTAATGTATTTGCTTTAAATATAAACATTTAATGGTTTCATTTGTTTCTCACAGTATAAATAAAACCAATCCATTAATCATCTTACAAAAAAAAGAGAAGTAACTCAAACTATTCTAAAAAATTCAAGGGTAGGGAAGACGCAAGCTCATGACACCAGCATTACCCTAATTCCTAAACCAGGTAAAGACTCTACAAAGAAAAAAAATTACAGGCCAATATACCTCATAAATATTGATGCAAAAATCCTCAACAGAATATTATCAAACTGACTTCAGCAATATATTAAAAATATCATACACCATGATCAAATGGGACCTATTCCTTGGATGCAAAGTTGGTACACTATCATCAAATCAATTAATATGTTATAGAACATTAAATTAATGAAAGATGCAAGTCATATGATTACATTCATAGATGCAGAAAAGCATTTTACATAATCCAACACCCGTTTATGATATTAACTCCCAGGAAAGTGGGAATAGAGGAAAAAACCACAACATAAAGCCCATAAATGATAAATCCACAGCCAACATCATAGTCAACTGGAAAAAAACAAAAATCATTTCCCTCAAGATCAGGAACGAGACAGAAATGTCCACTTTCATCAATCTATTCTACATAATACAGGAATTCCTAGCCATAGCAATCAGACAAGAAAAAAATAAAAGGCATCCAAATTGGAAAGAAACAAGTAAAACTGTCGTTATTTGCAGATACTATATAGAGAAAATGCTAAAGATACCACCAAAAAACCTACTAGAATTGATAAGTTAATTCAGTAAAGTAGCAGGATACAAAATAAATAGCAACCTGATATCATACCATACTACAAGGTTACAGTAATCAAAACAGCATGGTACTGGCATAAAAACAGACAAATTTTTATAATCAATGTTTTGAATGCTTTACTTGGTAGACTGCTTATCTACATTTGATGTAGTACTTCTTCTAGGTTTTTGTCCTGTTCTTTCATTTGGAACATGTTTCCCTATCTCCTCATTTGGGCTACATTTCTTTGAATTAGACAAAACAGCAACCTCTGCTGGTAATGAAGAAGTGGCCTTACTTAGGAGCATCCCCTTTGTAAACCACGTGTACCAGGTGTCTGGCAGGCCAGTTGGAGCTGGAGCTGGAGAAAATGAGGGCTATATGGAGTCCCAGAGGCAAGCCTCACCTGGGCTGCCTAGGCAGTCTGGCTGGCTCTTTGGTTGGGGCCAGCACAGGTCACAGGCAGTCCCCGTGGGCAAGCAGAGCCAAGGCCACTTTGGCAGGTCAGATGGAACTGTAGTTGGAGCAGACTGAGGCTTCAGTAAGTCCAGGGGACAAACTGCACTGCACATGGCTTGACCTGTAGTTAAAGGGGGCATGCACCATGGGGAGTCCAGGGGCCAGCCACAGAGCTGGTGTGGGCATGGGGTCTGGAGCACACGGGGATGGCTTTGGCCAGCTGCCTAGAACTTCTGGATTGTGTTTGTGCTCATGAAACCAAGGTGGAGTGGCAGCAAAACAAATGGTGCTCTTCTGTGTTTCTGGCATCAGAGAGAGTTCCCACAGTTGCCCTCATGTTTGGCAAATGCTCTAGGGCTAGTGAATGAATTTACTTCCCATATATATAGGTGCCCTTTAAACTGGTTTTTTCGCCCTGCCCAGGTTGGACAAGTCTGTGTGTGAGCCCTTTCAGTGATCCCTTCTTGTGTTCCATTTCAGACATACTAAGTCAAAATCTTTGAAGATGGACATTTGCTATGCATGCTGAAGTTGTGAGCCAATGCATATTGCTTCCAATAAAAGAAACTTTAACTCCAAATAACTTTTAAAAGGATGTCAATATACTTCAACTAGGCATACCCATTAGAGTTGGCATCAATCAGCTTGAAATAGCTTACATGTGCTTACAGTCCCTTATTCTTCTGTATCGTGTTAAGGGCCAAAAGTAGGATTTAAAAAAAAAAAAAAAAAAAAAAAAAAAAGCAAGGTTCACTTTATATGAAGGAAGATATTCTCAACTTCAAGCTTTGAACCCTATGTTCTTGCCCTCATTCTAATCCCGGACAATAAGAGATCCCTAACGGAAACCTTCCCCAAGAAGTGTTAGTGAAGCAGTTTATCAAATTTTATTTTGGGAAGAGATTAGGCCTTAGTGAATTCTACTCGGTTGTGGCAGGCAATATTGCTACATTTCTCCCCGGGAGGTTGGGAAGTGGAGTGGCTATATATTTCAAAGTGGCTCTTACCTGGCAAAAGAACAATCTTGATGGGCTCTCTGTCAAAAACTGGGGATCTCATCTTCTAAAAGGCCAGTTTGAATGACAGGCCTTCAGTATGAGATATATTTGAATAAAAAAATACTTCGAAGAAACCCATCCACTACAGTTGAGAGGAGGAAAATCTTGCATCAAAATAAGGATACAGGTGTCCTGGCCGGAGTGGCTCAGTTGGTCAGAGCATCATCCCCTGCACCAAAGGGCCAGAGGTTCGATTCCCTGTCAAAGCATATACCCAGGCTGCAGGTTTGATCCCTGATTGGGGCACATATGGGAGGCCCAACAAATCGATGTTTCTTTCTCTCCCACTCCCTCTCCCTTCCTCTCTCTCAAAAAAGTAAAACAAAAATTCTTGGGAGTTTTTTTTTTAAATAATAATAAAGTAAATAAGAACACAGGTGATACTTCTTAGGTGAAAGGTTTTGAAAACAAGTTTACATGTAAGGTTATAATTATGAAGGTTGAAAAAAGCCAATCAGATTGCAATGTTTGCTCAAGATGCCTAGTAAATGATGTAAATAACATTAAAATCTTATATACGATTTTTTCTGAAGATCTCAGAATTTTATAGGTACTGTCTTAATGGCTCAAAACAGGAATTATCATTCCTAACTCACATATGGAAAAAACAAGGTCAGTATGCCATTCCCCAAAGCCCTCTGATAGTCTTTTTTTTTTTAACAATGTGTCATAACACTCAGCGATAACTCATATTTTAGTACTATGATTTATGGCAAATATCCTGCTTTGAAATAAAAATCTTTTCCAATAAATGTTCTTATGGATATTTATGAGGAAGTTCAAAAGTTTCAAATTAATCAGCAATAATGAATCAAAAATAAAAAGAATTCAGTACAGTTATTTTCAACAGTAAAGAATATGTCAACCAGTAATTTCTCTCTTCTCCTCCCCCACCTTTTCTAGAGAGAGAAAACTCCAAAACATATGGCCCAGGAAGACAATCTGTACTCGTTTATAGCAATGAACTGGCTTTTACATCTCTGGAGCTAGAGTACACAAATGACTTAATAGGCAACAGCTTCCGTATGTTTTTCATATTTTTAACATTGACCGTTCACAATAAAGATTCTTTGATCCCAGATCAAATGTATGAATCAATTTTCTCTACACTTATTCAGAGAAACCATTATAAAAGCTCTCCTCTTCTCCACCTCAGATGTTCCAGCCCTTCCTCCAATCAGAACTATCTCCATTTGTCACCTTCTCTGTGGTACTTCCCACCCCTTTGCTGTGGTTTTTAGCTCTGCTCGTTAACCTCTCATTTGAAAGAGGCATGGTAATAAATAAGTTTTGTACATAATAAGTTAACCACAATAAATAAGGTTCCTATAAGAAACTCATAGGCATCTTTAATAAAACTGAAAGCTCATGATAGTATAGTTAGTTTAAAAAAAAAAAAAAAAGTGTCCCAATCAAAGAAAACATCCTCAGTAGTTGAGGCCTTTGCATATATGCAAGGAAAAAACACACACACATTTGTTTTTAAAGAACTAGATTACATTTATGGCATTACAACTGGAATAAGTAAACTGAAATCTAAGGCCTTAAGTTAAAAAAAAAAAAAAAAAAAAAAAAAAAGGACCAAAAAGAACCTAGATAAATGCAAATCATCAAATTTTTTTTAAATGCCTAAAGCATTGCTAAAAATATGAGTATCTTCAGCCTAGCTGATTCGGTTGAAAATTGACCAGTGGTGATGGTTTGATTCCTGGTCATGGCATGGCAACCAATTGATAATTCTCTCTCATCATTGATGTTTCAATCTCTCTCTCTCTCTCCCTCTCTCCCCTCCTCCTTAAAACAATAAAAATATATATTTTAATTTAAAAAAAGAGTATCTTCAACATAAAATTACTTTAAATGATTCCAAGGCCACTTTTTAAGGCCCTATTGAGGAGCACCGTTTTTTTATAAAACTGAATTTGCTAAAAACTTAAAACATAAATTTTGCAGAAAGGTAATCATTAAAATACTTCAAATTTTTACAAAATTTTCTGGTGATAAATTTGGTAGAAGATTATATTTGGGCCTAATTAGACCCACGTTATAGAAGAAAGGAGGGAATGGAAAGAAGGGGGAAGGGAGTAAAGGAGAGAGGAAGGATAGGAAGGAGAGAGGGAAGGAGGGAGGGAGGGAGGGAGGGAGGGAGGGAGGGAGGGAGGGAGGGAGGGAAAAAGTGGACAGGAAGGAGGAGGGAGGGAGAAAAGAAAACTAGTGTTGAAGATCCCTTTGATTTTGTTATAGTTGTTGTTTCCTTTTGTTTGGACTGGCAGACAGGTCAGTTTTTAGAATAATTTAAGTTACTATCATTCTTCATTTCAAAATACAGCCTGATACCTAAGAAAAAGTAAACCAGTGAGACTGCTGGTTCAGAACCTGTACTTGGTATTTATAAGCATGAAGATGGCATACTTCAACTTAAGTCTAACACGGGGGGGTTCTTGAGTTGCTTGTATACCTGGCAACACTGTTCTAGGTAAATTAAATCTACCTAGCTTTCTGCTAAATGAGTTTTTGCATATGTCATCCACCCATCCCAAAGATTACAACTTACCTTGCACACAGTAGCAAACTGTTGGTTATTTCCTGCTCCAACTACAAGATAGCCATCCTTGGTTTTAAAAGCCTAAAATAAAAAATAACACACATAAATGCATAATTTTTATATATTGAGAATACCACAAAAGTTGGCTGTACTTTCTAAAACTCCTATATAAAAAGCTTGTTTTAAAGCAATGTTATTAAGTCAGTATCAACAAATTCGTATATTTTCCACTTATATTTGCACAGTGGCTTTCATTTGGGATTTCCAAAGCATTATCTGGCCCTTCCAATATTATAACATGAGAGGGGGAAATAATTTAGGAAAATTAAGAAAATCCTAGAATTTTATAATATTACAGCTCATAATGTGAAATTCTGTATTCATTATAACACGAATAATCTTGAATTTTCCCAAAGTTTTATATTTTGCTTCCACTTTTTTCTTGTGGGGCAAAGCAAGAGGGTACATTGTTTTCTACAAACCATATGAATAGATGAGTAAAAGGAAAGCAGAAGCAAGAAAAGAAGGAAGGGAAAGAGGGTGGACGCATGCACTGATGCGGCTACATTTCATCTTTGAAAACCTCAGATGCAAACATGTGCACAATTTTCACTCTTTAGTGAGTGAATATGAACATATCTGGATCCTGGACTTCTTTGGCTTATCTACCTTTGGGACAGACATTAGATAGCAATTCCAATAAGTAATCGACATTCCTACGTCCCATAATCCTAGCCTCTCTGGAGAACTTCTCAGCACCTTCTCCACATTTGGTCACAGTAGAGTTTAGAGGAACCAAACTTTACCCTCAGAAAGACTCCTTCCCACTTTCCTTAAATAAATACATTCCTTCAGTTTCCTTCTTTTCTATGCAAAAATCTCTCTGTATCTTTGCCTACTGTTTCTTCTCTCACTCCTGCCTCTGAGAAACATGACCTCTATCTTTCTTAGCAGGGCTCACTCCCATGCTAATGACCTTGGTACTGCTCTAACTAACGTCTTCCAGAACCCTGCTCAAACACCCGCCTTTGAAAGAGGGCAGAAGAACTAATAAAAAAAAAGCTAACGGAGTTCATCAGCACCAAACCAGAATTATATGAATTGCTGAAGGGGGTTCTTTCAGAAGAGAAAGTAAATAAAGATAAAAATTATGAACAACAAATATGTAACTATCAAGTGAATCTAAAAACCAAGGAAATTCTTTTTAAAAAATCTGATGAACAATATTAACTGTTGAATATAATAGAATCAGAGGTATGAAAGGGGAGTGAACTGACAATTCTTGGGGAAAAGGGAAGAGGGGGATGTGGAAAGAGACTGAACATAAACTGTGCACCTATGGATGAGGACAATGGGGGTGGGGAAAGGGCAGAGGGTGGGGTGGGAACCTGGTGGAGGAGACCAATGGAGGGGGGGGAGGAACATTTGTAATAATATGAACAATAAAAATTTATTCTAAAAAATAAATAAAAAATAAATTATCCTTTAAAAAAAAAAAAAAAAAAAAAAAGAGGGCAGAAGAGGAGTTAGCCAGAGAGTAAAATGGGCATTAAGTAATGCCCACAGGAGGTCTTTCCTTACCTCAGCGAATGTGGCCCTGGTATCACAATGTAGACAGAATTCGGTTTGAAGTGGATCATGGACTGAGTAACAGGTAAGGAAACAGAGGCAGCACATGCAAACATCCAAGAAGTGAAGAATGAGCAAGGGACTGAGAGCACAGACAGAGCACGATGCAGAGCCAGCCCCCATGTCAACTGGTGAAAGTTCACACTGGATCCTTCTGCTTTCTGATGAAGGAAGAGGGGAAGCTATCAAATGAGAGGAGGGCTGGGAGCCAGGAGACTAGAAGATTGAAAGGAGTGGAGACCTGCATCGTTACCAAGACAGAGAGAGCAGAGTAACCAGAGCAGCACAATTGTAATGCTGAAGTGTTGAGAGCCTAATTAAGTGGCTTCCTTCCATCATCACTCAGTTATTTGAGTTAAATGAGTATTTACATTCACTAGATTTAGGGTTTTATCACATGGATATGACAAAGAAATACAAGTTTAGGAAAGATACCCAGAATGTTACTGAGCAGTGAAAAATGGGCTGAGATGGAACAGGTGGTGAAGATAGGGGGAGACTATGGCTAGGACAGTGCATAAGAAATGCTGTGAAGTCAAAAAATTCTCATAATGAAAGTCACTGAACACGCAAGGTGGGAAGGTCAGACTGCAAAATGCTCCAGCCAAAACTGGTTTGGCTCAATGGATAGAGCGTCGGCCTGCAAGCTGAAAGGTCCCAGGTTCGATTCTGGTCAAGGGCATGTATCTTGGTTGCGGGCGCATCCCCAGTGAGGGGTGTGCAAGAGGCAGCTGTTCAATGATTCTCTCTGATCAATGTTTCTAACTCTCTATCCCTCTCTCTTCTCTGTAAAAAATCAATAAAATTTTTTAAAAATATAAATAAAATAAAAAAAAATAAAATGCTCCATTCATTCAGTGGTTATTGAAGTGAAACCATTCCAGTGTGAGGTGAGAGCCACAGTAGAAGTTGCATAGAATAATTGCTGATAAAAGTTGGAAACTCAATAAAAACTCTTATTATTAAACAATTACTATATACTGGGTCTGAATAAAAGGAACTCCCATGTGCATTCTAAGCCCTCAGATTCTGGTACTCGGGCCCTCATCCACTCTACAAATAACTCCTCTCTGACTCTTCATCCTCTATTGCCTCACTCTCTATACTAGCATGCTTTCCATCACAGATCGAACGCATCAAATTGAGCTGCAAATACTCATGACTGGGGGTCTCTTCCTTTTGTAAGGAAGTCAAGCCTCAGGTGGGAAAAAGCAATTACTTCTGCATGAAAAAAATGGGAAAGGGCAGCAGGAGCAAATATCTATAGTTTTGTTCTGTATTTTTAATATTTTTTAATTGTTTAAAGTATTACATATGTCTCTCCCTTTCCCCCAATTGAATCTTTCCCAGCTGCTCCCACCCTCCAGGACAAGCCTCCACTGCCCCAGTGTCCATGTCCATTGCTAATCTGCATGCATACAAGTCCTGTGGCTGATCTCTAACCCCCGCACCCTCCTCTGCCTTCCCTATGAGGTTGGATGGTCTGTTTGGTGGTTCTATGTCTCTGGGCCTATTTTTGTTCATTAGTTTATGTTGTTCATTATATCCCACATGTGAGTGAGATCATGTGATATTTATCTTTAGTTTTAAAAAGACTAAGCCAGAACTAAGCTTTTCTACACAGGAGACCAGATTTTATGATTCCTGAGGGAAGATGCCACTTTCTGTGGGCTGTGCTTATCCAAGGGTGACCAGTGTCACTGGCTGGAAGATCACGAAGAAATGACATGATTTTCTTCACACTCCAGTTATGATAAACCTCTCTTTGGAGGGATGTGTTTTTCAGGCTGAGAAAATATTTATTGGTAAAGGATTAGATGTCCCAAGGAAATGGCACAAGTCATCAAATTGAAAGACATGGAAAGATATGTAAAGAGCATGGGGGTTCAGAGATTAGTTCCTCTAGTCGGAGCAGTTTCAGATGTAAAGTGTGGCCATACCTGAATGACTGAGGGGTAGAGATGGGAAATACAGGAGCAGGGAACAGTGAGCAGATGTGAAGGCAGAGAAATAAGAGGATCAGTCTGGAATTCCCATTGTTCTTGGAAGTGTCTGTTCTTCCCAGATGCTCTGCTTTCTGAGCTTCTAGGCATGCTGGCCCCATTTGATAATGCCCTAACTATTGAGCTTTCTATCGATAAATATAAAAACCACAGGAGGAAGTTCTGTATCAACTCAATCTATCAGATGATCCAATGGAAAAAATAAAAACTAGGACTTTCTGCGTCACCCTCATGAGCTACCCATGTTGATTTATCAGTATTTTCTCTGGTCTAAACAAAGTGCATCCAATTGGTAGTGTCTACTTAAAAAAAAAAAAGCCTTTGGGTTACTTAATTTTTAACACCACATTCTTCCACAAAAGGTAACCCATGCTAAATGATTTCGTTATCCACTGGAAAAAGACATTCCATGAAGTTTAACTCACTGCCATGAGAATATTTTCTGGAATGTCAAGCAGTCACTGGCTTTGGGACTGGGAGGGTGCATTGTGACAAATATAGAGCACTATTTCCTATCACTAATAGTTCAATTCACCTTATGGTGTTAGAGCTAGCCGAGCCAGATGGCTATAAGGCACAAAGTGCTTATAAGTCAAGATTAGTGTCATCTATGAAAGGGTAAATAAGCCCAGGAATACCTATTTCACATACTACCTATTTGGCTTTGTCTGCATATTTTCATAGAGTATATGCCTTTTGGAGGACCCATTTCTATAAATACCAGCACTTGCCTTGAATTTTAGAATAGCCTTATTATATCCCAGATATAGGCCAGAATTTCCCAATTCCACAGAAAGTTTGAATGCTCAAAGATGTCCTGAAGGTTCTTCAAAATCAATTAAATCTCATTTCAAATCAAACATATCTAGGATTTCAAACACTTGGGTTATTAATACTGGGTATGGAGGCAATGGCAAGAAAGAAAATGGAAACTATCTTAAATTATTTATATTTTTCATAAGTTATCAATGGATATTTTTTAACTTTTTGTCAATTACAGTTTACATTCAGTATTCTTTTGTATTAGGTTCAGGTGTGGCACAATCATCTCTATACAAAAAGAGCCAGGATACGTAACGTCCAAAATGACTGAAGGGACAACTGAATGCCTGGTTGTGCGTGCAACAGGTTTGGGTGGGCAGTGACTGGCAAGCGGGTTGAACTGGTGACCTCTTGGAGAGAGAGAGAGACAGGGCTGATCAGCAGCTGCCCCAGGCTACTGGCGAGGCCCAGAGAGAAAGAGTCCCTTGACTCCTCTCTCTCTCTCTGTCTCTCTCTGAGCTCACCCAAATTAAGTTCTGATAGGTGGGTTTCTATGCCAGTCAGCATCTCCAGGCCTGCTGGCGAGCAGGCTGAACTGCTGACCTCTTGAAGGTATGCTCAGCTGCTGGCAAGACCGGGGGAGGGGAAGGGAATGGGGGAGGCAAGGGCTGACTGGCATAGAAACTA